GGTACCTAATTTGTCGGCTTGTAGGGCTATTCCCTTCCATTCTCTTTATAGCTTGGTTTTATTCTCCTTATGCGTGGGTTCTTGGTGCTCCCTGATTGCTAGGGCAATTTCCATTTCCAGCTCACTTTTGATTGTTCAGGTAGCTTCTCAGAGCTATTTTTCACCTCCACTAAAACGTCCTTGATTGCCTTCTATTCATTCATAAGAACGAAATCTAGTTCCTTCTCGAAGAGAAAAGTGTATAAGGAGGTTGCCTTCACTTGTCACGATGCCGGCAAAACATTTGAGGATTTAGCAAGTCAACGGTTCAATGTTTGAAATCACGAATACTGTAGCAGAAGACACGAGACTACGTGCTTTCGACAAATTCTCCCTGTAGCTCCGACCAATTTGCACAAGCAAGGTTTAACAAAAACTATAAAGCTAAAGAAAAATGTGATCAAACAAAAAGGTCACTCCATTTTCGTCTTCATATCTACCATCGAATTGCCTACAAAGCTCAGAAGTTATTGCGAATAAACAGAATATAAGGTATGAAGACCAAGATGGTGTGGCCTTTTGTGTGTTCGCAGTCTCCTTTCGTTCTATAGAGTTTGTTTGACCTTGTTTTCGCAACATGGAATCCATTGTCTGCATGATCATTTCCAAAGTCAAACCGTGGACCTGGCACATTCCCAAACGTTTCGCCGGCATCGTATTCGGCATCGTCAGTGAGTATCGCCATCCTAAGCACCATACAGCAACTTCTCAAAGAGACAAGTGAAACTGATCCTTTGGACAAACGTGTGCTAAAAATTGTGGTATCTCCCCATCTGCCATGGGTTATTCTCATTTCCGGTAGCATAAGGGGAGATAACACAATTGTTAGCACATGTTTGGTCAAAGGATCAGCTTCACTTGTCTCTTTGACGAGTTGTTGAGTGGTGCTAAGAATGGCGATACTCACTGACGACTACAATGCCTAGCCAAACGTTTGGGAATGTACCACGTCCACGGTTCAACTTTGGAAATGATTATGCATACAATAGATTCCGGACTAGGTGCGTTCCTCTAAGTCTTCCTACCAATATGACCATATTGTGAAAACAAGGTCAAACAATCTCTAAACAGAATATAAGTTTATTTATTTAATTCAACTGATCCGGCTATAAAATAAGTTCGGTGTGTACATTATTGGCATTTTAGGTAAATATGCGAATGTGTACCTCTCTTAGAGAAAATTTATTTATCATTCTTCTCCATTAAAAATAATGTACTTAATTAACTCGATTAGAAAAAATTGAATACATTTAAATTTTATCTGAGCATAACATCTTCTTTTTACTGTTAATGAGCAAATCTAGTAGAAGGATATTGAAATCTTAACTATATACTTACTTCTATTATATCTACCTCCGCTCAAATTCATTTGTCACTAATTATATCATTAAGTATGAAATGCTTCCCAGATGGTGCCAAATTTAATTACTCATGTCCTACATGAATGTGCTAAATAATATAATTGCATAATTTTGAGGTCGTTCATGTAATGTATGGATTATATTGAAATATTTTATTTTGCAAACTGGTAAAACATTCTCACCTTTAGAAGACCTGAGTGGGCCTATCCTCGACTGTGCTCCTTTCCTGTTCCTTTCGGCCTGCCGGCCTGGCGATGAGAGATTTAGGCAGAAACAGGTTCTTTGCATTATCGCTTATACGAAAAGAAGAATCACCCCAACGCAGTGGTTTTCGTTTGCTCCTCATTCGCCTTTCACCTTTCTCCGTCTCCTGACTCTCATTCTTTCGCTTCAACTTCGCTTTGTTCTTTACCTTTTCCAGCTCTGCTTGTTTACTCGTACCCTTTCCAGTATAACCTAGTTTTTCTCTACCACTTGTTTCCTGATTGCATTTTTGCAGTACAGTCGGTACTTCTTCACAAAAGTGAGGAGCAACTGCAATGTGTTGACTAGGTTCTTGATGTTGGAGGAACGAAGGAACATAAAATTGACTGCAACCATTTTCTTCGTCACGTCTTTCAAAACCTGTTGTCAGCATTTCAATGCTTCTGCCAGTCTCATATTCACCCGGCAGAATAGCTGCTTTTCCTATTCGGTACAAATGTTGCCCACCGGCTGCAGTTAAGGCGACTGGCGTCGATGCTGTTGCCTCATTGACGAGCATTGAGACGTTTTGTCTGGGCAGGCTGGTGCAGCAATGTTCTGCTGAAAAGGTTTCTCTGGGAGGCGAGCAAACGTGGGAATCTCGAGAACCCGTTTGGCCGTTTGTCTCCAACAAAGTGTATCCGGCCTCCTGAATTGACGGCGGGCACTTTTGTTGTTGCATTAGCTGCTGTTTATGACAAGCTTGGCCGAGGCCTCCACTCAAAGATACCATTTTGGAGGGGGCTGCTCTGACCACCAGAAGGTGGTCTCTCTGCGCTCCTGACTTTAAGGGAGCCTTTTCCGTTGTGCCACGAGGACTGAGCGTAAATGTAGAGCCGTCTATTTGAAGAAGACCACTCAGGAGAGGTTTGCATCTTTGCTCCTTCGCATTTCTTGTCAGTTCGGTCTGTTCGTGCAGACCTTCAGACTGCAGTCTGGCCAATGCTTCTATTGAGGCTGCTTGATAGCCGGAAACTACAGTCGGTGTCCATCTGGCAGCTACCAGGTTCGAGCCACCAGAACAGTTCTTGTCCGAGTTGGTGACAGCGTTTGCCTTGGCCCGGTACCCTTTGTCTATTACGTTTAAGTGACCTGCATCACGGTTGCAGGTTTCACTGCTCAATGCAGCATTGTAGGAATTCATCCCGTACATGCTTTGCTCTCCAGTACTACATGAAGTAGCAGGGCTAGATGTGGTGAAACTAGCGAATCTTGCGACGGGAGAATAGCAGGTTTGTTCTTCCGGAGGTTCTGATCGCACGGTTTTTGTGTCTCCGGATCGCCAGGCGTTGCGTTCTGAGTTGCAGGCAGAGACAAGTGTACTGTTGCCTGAATAGATGTAGTTGCCAGTGCTACTGTTGCCTGAAGTACCGCGTATGTTTGGCTCAAGCAGTTTCGCGTAGATCACAGGACCATCAGTAAGGCTCGAGCTGGGGTAGTAAACTTTCTGACTGATTTCCTCATTGTTACACATTTCTAAATTATTGAAAATTATTTAATTTGTTTAATTTCTGATTATTCGGTGATAAGGAGCTAGAAATCCTATGTATTAATTGAATTTTAAGGAAAATTTAATGATATTGGACAGCCTAAATATACTAAAAAAGAAGTCAAATATAATAAGTATAGAAAACTCCTTTCTTATTATGTGCCTAATTATAAAATTTCAGAGAAATAAACAATTGACCATGCAGTCTTAAATAATCGTATCTAAATACCAATAAAGTTTCACATTTAGAGTTAGGTCTAAGTCTACTCATCTACTCTTAACTAAGTTAATAATTGTATTACTGCCGATTAATAATTCAAAGCTGATGCAGAAAATAGTGCATAATTTTAAACCATAAATGTACAGAAAGTTAAATTAAATTTTCTTCTCAACATTCCTGAGATATAAAGTACTGTTTTAAGGATAAATTCTATATGTAGTTAACAAAAAGGGGAAAAAATAAAATAAACACGTAAGACTTTTGCATTTAAATATTAGTGTAGAATCATTAATTCCTTAACGAATACAAAGAATTAAAAGCCTTAAACTTCATTTTGCTGCTGTAGGTGAGAAAAATAAAGTATATTACTAAATATTAATTTTAATCACATATTTTAAAATAATTTGCGATAGCTAGTTTTTTGGCTATTTAATTAAATAGAGATAAACAAGAATTCAAAATCTAAATAATACTACTAGCAGATTACATACTGAGAAATTTTAGCATTAATGGACTATGAAGAATAAAAGGTAATTTCAGGTAAGTGAATAGTAAAGGAGTAAATTAATTTTATATTGTATGGAATCTTAAGGTAACATAGAGCCGAAACATTTTAAAGATTGTTTCTTTCATGTTATATTCTAAGGTACTTACAATAAAAATATATATTTGAAATATTTTTTGGATTTTCATTCAATGTCC